CTCCGCTGTACAGAACAAGGCTAATGCTGACAGAAGTGACAGTCCTCTGTGGAGAAAAACTGCAGCACCGCTGTTGATTGTGGTTGTGTTGTTCTCTGTTACTGTGTACTGAACAGTGGGAATCATCTGATAGCAGATAATAATAATGATAATACTAACATAATCATAATTGCGTACAACCACCCCATGGGTGAATAAATTAATAATCCGGTTAACAGCTTTCTCTTTTAATTCGAATATCTTTTCTTTTACTTTTGTGTGTGTGTGTGTTTTCTCTTTCTAATAATTCCATTACTTGCTTTTCCCGTTATGTGCGTTTGCAGAAAACTGGGCTGTTCTGCTCACTGACGGTATACATCTCTTGCTAGTACACACAGATGTGTGTGTGCAGTAATATAATACTTAAACTAGAGCCATGGGGTATTGTGTGTGTGTTTGGGTGTTTGGCTCTCTGTCTTATTTGGGTGTGGTGAGGTGTTCTTTTTTTTCTATTAATGGATACATATTATTAAGCAACTGGTCCATTCCTTTTTTCTTGCTTTACTGTGCAGTTGATGCTTCTCACTCTATCCCTCTGTGAGTATCTGTTGTACTGGTGTACGTTTGTGTGTTTCTCTCAATTTTTTTTTCTTCTGTACGTCTTTCTTCCTTGTATTGATCTATTGAAGTAAACAACAACAATGACAAGGGCTGTAATGGTGAGGTGTTACCTGCTCTGTTTACTAACTATTGTACTCTGTTGTGCTTGTGGGTTAGTATGGGCTGATAGTCCTAAAGCTTCTGATGTCCTTATTAAAACTTCTACTGTTGGTGTTCCTTCTGTTGTTTAGTCATGCTATTTCCCGCGGCCGTGACACGTCTTGAAGATGTTGGGAACGGGAACGATGAGGAAGATGATGATCTTGAGGGTGAATATGAGGTTGAGGAATACGAGGAGGATGAGGAATAGACTTCAACTTGAAGAGGTCCTGTGAAATCCCGCACTGCAGCTAATGCTGAACCAAATGTGTAGAGTGATGCAGACAGCAGCAGCAGTATCATCAGTTCTGTGTGGGTGCGTGTGCCACTACTGATTGTGGTTACACTGTCCTGTATTCTTGTGTGCTGATTGTAGTGATGGTGTGACTCAGGTCATCCTTTGTTTTCTTTTCTTTTTTGCATACAATCCCTACAATCTAACTAATCTTTTACTGTTGGGATTCTTTTCTTTTGTGTTTCTTAATGTTAATGTGTGTTTTGTGTGTTTTTTTACTCTCTGTGTGTTTATCCTATTATTATTATTATTATTATTATTATTATTATTATTGCTGATACTCCATTGTGTGTGTGTGTGTTCTTGGAGACTCTCTCTGTGTGTGCACCTGGGCTTGCACTGTGATGATGATGAACTGTTTTTTGCAGTGGGAAAGAAAAAAGTAACAGATGAATTTATATTTATAATTGCGTATATACACACATAGACTTACACCCATAGTTGGTGTATTTCTATGTGTTTACTGTGTAAATTGGGCTAATGGTTAATATTTCTTTCTTTGCTTTAGTGTGCGTGGGTTATTCTGTGCTTTTGCCCTGCACGGTTTTTGGTAATCTGTTTTATAAGAGCAAAGAAAAAAATAGTAGTTAATACAATTGGTATTCTTATGTGCTTGAACACACCAGCATACTCAGTGGTCTGTGAGTTATTTTTGTGCAGTTCGTTCTGCTCTTAATTTTTTTTTTTTTTCGTTTTCTTTGCTTGGGCACTGTGTGCTTTTTCCTGCATTGTTGTGTGTTGGAGTGTTTTTTGTGGAGAGAGAAAAAATAATAAGGAATACATAAGTATATATTTGTAATTGTGTTTGGTCCTACAGGAAGAGGCATTTTGATGTATTTATGTGCTGTCTACTTCTGATGGTCGTTCTCTTTAATTTCTTTTTTTTTTCTTTTGAGGGGTTAGTTGGGATTATCTGTTTGTTATTGGGTACTGTGTGCGTTGTTCTTTTATTTGTGCCAATATGAGATATGGTTGCACCTTTCTGTTATCTGGGTGCCTCTGTTGTAATTGTTGAGTGTTGTTTGATTTGGTGTGTGTTCTCATTTTTTGTTGTTTACATTG